ATAAGCAATTATAAAAATCTTAAGAGCATCTTTCCCTCTCAAGAAACTAGATCTCTGTCAAGAGCCTAGGTCACCTTCACAGTTAAGATAATGGTAGAATTAACAAATTCAACTTGTTCATGGTCTCAGTTGGGTTTATTTAGATACAGTAGCTAGTATATGTGGGCATACACTGAGCATATAGATATGACAAGATGTAACTTTAATAAATGTAGGTATAATAAGAGCTTTTATGTATCTGCATGGAGTGGGGATCCTGGCTTGAACTTAAAGTAGATCTATGGTTTTATTGACAATCTCCACCCACCTTCTCCCACCATTGGGTTATCAGGAATCCATGGAGAGTTTGGTTTAGAACAAATCCAATCACCAAACATGCCCAGACATGTTGAAACAATGTAAGATTCCACTGCTTATAATTTAGTGCAGTTAATGTTATGGTTTTCCACATCATATAGGTATAAAAGAGAAAGGTTTTTCTTTTACTTATTCCAGTAGGGTCCTTTATATGCATGTTTGTCTCTGTGTGTTGCCTAAAGATCAGAAATTACAAAAGACCCTGAGACAGAAAATTAACCTCTAGTTGGCCTAGTTTCCTTAAAATTTCAGCCTACTGAGTTAATCTGTTTCATTCTTTTAATTCTGGAATCTGGGGGCGCCTGGGTGGCGCAGTCGGTTATGCGTCCGACTTCAGCCAGGTCACGATCTCGCGGTGCGTGAGTTCAAGCCCCGCGTCAGGCTCTGGGCTAATGGCTCAGAGCCTGGAGCCTGTTTCCGATTCTGTGTCTCCCTCTCTCTCTGCCCTTCCCCCGTTCATGCTGTGTCTCTCTCTGTCCCAAAAATAAATAAACGTTGAAAAAAATTTTTAAAATAATTCTGGAATCTGGTCCTAATTTAGACATCTGATTACTAGGAATTACTTTGGAAGTATAATATTACAAGAAGACTCAGACTAAAAGAAGGCATTACACATAGGATTTCCTGTTTATAGGTTTGCAAAATACTTTAAGACCCTAATTAAATAATTAATGAGGGAGAACAGAATACATCTAAACAGTGTACTCACCACAATTTCCAAATGCACTGGATAGCTAGCTCTAATGCCTGACTCAGAGGAAACACTCTGGTGCATTCATGTACACAAGAAAAGAAATGCGACCTCATGATAGATGGATCTAAATGTTGGAATCAACTGGGAAAGAAATGGCAAACTCTAATACTTTATTAAAAAGATTTCACCCAAAATATAATACTGGGATGCTGAATTTCTTAAGTGACAAATTGTGTCAAATTGTCAAATTGTCTAGCGACATTATTCAGTTTCTCTTTCCTTATAACTTTCAACTTCAATTCTCTGTTTTTCTCTGCCACAGTTTTTGAAAATGAATACACAAGAAACTCACCACTGAACTGTCATTTTTATCTTTCTAACCTCAAGCAGGTGTTGACTGTTCCCTCTTTCTACACTATTTCTGATTGTGGAGTGGAGGGATTTTCTGATTTCTTAAATTTTTAAAAATTTTTTTTACATTTATTTATTTTTGAGAGACAGAGACAGAGCACAAGCAGGGGAGGGGCAGAGAAAGAGAGGGAGACATAGAATCCAATGCAAGCTCCAGGCTCTGAGCTGTCAGCACAGAGCCCCATGCGGGGGCTCAAACCCATGAACCATGAGATCATGACCTGAGCCAAAGTCAGACACTCAACTGACTGAGCCACCCAGGCACCCCAGGATTTTCTGATTTCTTAATAGCAGGAACAATACTTGGAATTTCAGTGTCTGGGGTTTTTTTTCTCTAAAGGGCACATTAATCTTACGTACTCTCTCCAAGAATTATGATAGTTTCCAATCTCATTAAGACTTTTATGCACAGAGAATTCAAAGAAAATTAGTAGTCAGTAGTCATTATCGATTAAAAAAGATTTTCTCCACCTCTATGGCAAGTATCACAAGGAGTTCCTCAAAGTGTTTAGAGGAGAAAAACCAAAGGAAATGAAAGGAAAGAAAGAAAGAAAAAGAAAGAAAGAAAAAGAAAGAAAGAAAGAAAGAAAGAAAGAAAGAAAGAAAGAAAGAAAGAAAAAGAAAGGGAGAAGAAATAGATGCTGTTCAAGCAGTTCAGAAGATTCTTGACTTTGAGACTTTGATGAAGTTATAATATAAACAGCTTGAGGGAATATGGGATTTGAAAGCAGTTTTATATGTTGGAAAACAAGCAGTATTTTTATGAGGCTAATATTGGAACATATACCAATGCCAATTCCTGCTTTTAGAGCAAATGAAGTCTTCCGTTACCAGTCCCTTAGCCAACCTGTTCTATTCCAGCCTGTTTCATAATGTATGTTTTCCTAAGTAAAAAACAAAACAAAACGACAACAACCACAAAAATGAACATTTTATTAAATATACTATTTTCCAGTTAATTTTTTTCCTTGTTGCTCAAGTACAAGGATAAACAAGTTATTTCTTCTGGGTTTCATGTCTGAAACTCTTTCTAGTGATAGGATTGTTGTAAAGATCAGAAAGACACTATATATGAAAGTACTTTTAAATACAAAAAGAATCAGGGTTCCTGGGTGGCTCAGTTTGGTTAAGCCTTTGAATCTTTGGTTTGAACCTCCATGACCTTGGAGAAAGGTCATGATCTCACTGTCAGTGTGTTTGAGCCCCAGCTTGGTATTTTCTCTCTTTCTCTCCTTCTCTGTCTGCCCAACCCCCCTCCCCACCCCCCACTCATGTCGGTGAGCTAGCTCTCTCTCTCAAAATAAATAAACTTATTGCTTCTCGGCCTTTATTCCAAGATAAAATGTAAAATAAATAAACAAAAAAATATATATATAAAATCATACAAATATAAGTCAACATTATTACCAAATCTATTTGTGATATGTACATTTTCTCCTTTAGTTTTTGTTTTTCTCTCTTACTCCATCATTATTTTCTGAATAATCAAAACAATTATACTAGAATTATAACATTATTCAGTTAGGTTGAAAATGTTAGCCATTGGGGCGCCTGGGTGGCGCAGTCGGTTAAGCGTCTGACTTCAGCCAGGTCACGATCTCGCGGTCCGCGAGTTCGAGCCCCGCGTCGGGCTCTGGGCTGATGGCTCGGAGCCTGGAGCCTGTTTCGGATTCTGTGTCTCCCTCTCTCTCTGCCCCTCCCCCGTTCATGCTCTGTCTCTCTCTGTCCCAAAAATAAATAAACGTTCAAAAAAAAATTAAAAAAAAAAAAAAAAAAAGAAAATGTTAGCCATTTTTGGTTTTGCCTTTCAATAAACCTAACAAAAATTGTCTACCTTGCATGTTTTTACTTTCAATTGAGGTTGGTATGTTTAAAAAGATTAGAAAACATGATCTAAAGATCTCATTTTTATTTTTTTTAATTTAATTTTTAAATTTAATTCTAGCATAGTTAACATACAATGTTATATTAGTCTCAAGTGTACAATATAGTGATTCAACAATTCCATATATTATTCAGTGCTCAGCAAAAGAAGTGTACTCTTGGGGCTCCTGGGTGACTCAGTCAATTAAGCATCCAGACTCTTTATTTCAACTCAGGTCATGATCTCATGGTTCTTGGGTTCAAGCCCCACATCAGGTTCTGTGATGACAGCACAAAGCCTGCTTGGAATTCTCTGTCTCCCTCTCTCTCTGCCTCTCTCTCTCTCTCTCTCTCAAAAACAGATAAATAAACATTAAAAAAAAAAAAGTGTGTTCCTAATCCCCTTCACCTATTTAACCCATCCCCTCACCCACCTCTCCTCTGGTAACCATCAGTTTGTTCCCTATAGTTACAAGGCTCTTTCTTGGTTTGTCTCCTTTATCCTTTGTTTGTTTTGTTTCTTAAATTCCACAGATAAGTGAAATAATATGGCATTATTCTTTCTCTGACTGGCTTATTTCTCTTAGCATTATACTCTCTAGATGCATTCATGTTGTTGCAAATGGCAAGAATTCATTCTTTTTATGGCTGAATAATATTCCTTTGTACATATATACATCTTCTTTATCCATTCATCTATTGATAGACACCTGGGCTGCTTCCATTGTTTGGCTGTTGTAAAATAATGCTGCAGTAAACATAGGAGTGCATATATTTCTTCGAGTTAGTGTTTTTGTATTCTTTGGGTAAATACCTGGTAGTGTTACTGGATCATAGGTCACTTCTGTTTTTAATTTTTTGAGGAGACTCCATACTGTCTTCCACAGTAGCTACACCACTTTGCATTCCCACCAAGAGTGCAAGAGAGTTCCTCTGTCTCCACATCTTTGACAATACTTGTTGTTTCTTGTATTTTTGATGTTAGCCATTTTGACAGGTATGAGGTGATATCTCATCATGGTTCTGATATGCACTTTCCTGATGATGAGTAATATTGAGAATATTTTCATGTGTCTGTTGGCCATCTGGATGTCTTCTTTGGAGAAATGTCTGTTCATGTCTTCTGCCCATTTTTAATTGGACTATTTGAGGTTTTTTTGGTGTTGACTTGTGTAAGTTCTTTATATATTTTGGATACTAACCCGTTATCATATATGTCATTTGCACATATCTTCTCCCATTAAGTAGGTTGTCTTTTAGTTTTTTTGTTTCCTTTACTGTGCGGAAGGTTTTTATTTTGATATGATCCTAATAGTTTATTTTTACTTTTGTGTCCCTTGCCTTGGGAGACATATCTAGAAATGTCTAGGTAAAAACTTTCAAATGATACACTTCAATAAAATTAAATATGCACAAATTTTCACAGAGGAATGTTGTGTATTTTGATAGTCAAATTTTCTGTTAGTAACCCATGCTGACCTGCTTAATATTTGTATTATGCAGAAGTTTTTCCTCTTGAAAAATCACTATTAATATTTGAATCAAAATGAAAAGTTCATACTATCTATATATTTTAAGCCAAAGGTTTTATTTTTGAGGACAATTATTTTTAATAATATTAAAACTTTTCCAGAATAAACAGTGCTTTCTTACATTTTTACATTCTCATTTAAAGGATCAGTTTATCCTGAAATACGTTACAGAGGAGAAATGGAAGGATTTTTTGAAAAAGTAAGTATTGCATGTATTTCGTAAAACCCCTGCACTTCCTATTATCACTTGTTGCATTAAATTAAGTATGCAATCATTTAAGCTAATAGAAAACATTTGACTGGAAGCTTTTTATTGATTTTGACTAAAGCACAATTTGCCTTTATTTACTTACATTGTTAAGAACCATATGTAATAAGATGAAAAGTATGTTTTAGATTATTTTTCAAAGTTGGAGATTTCATTATAAAATTATAACACTTTGTAAAAATAAAACACATAGAAACCTGAAAGAAAATTAAATAAAATAAGAACCAAGGTAATAAAGTATTAAATCAGTTTGTTATAGTGACAAACAAAAATAGCAATATAAAGCAAAATTGCCACCACTGGCCAAACTGTATCCATCTTGAATTCATTTGTGGTGTAGAGATTAATTCAGTTCTTCAAATATTTCTCTCTTCCTCTCTTTCTTTCTTTACACACGCACACACACACATCACACACGTGCTTGTACACACTATATTCAACTTTGTGCCCAATCTACCAGAGAACATTAATTCTTTCTTTCTTTTTTTTTTTTTTTTATTTGAGTGTAGTGTACATACAATGTTGCATTACGTTCAGGTGTTCAACACAGTGATTCAAGTTTTTATGTTATACTGTGCTCACCACAAGTGTAGCTACTGCCTAATGTTCCAATTTTAGTGTATGTGCTGCAGAAGGGAGCATGAGAATGTTTTCTTGATTCAATTATCTTCCACAAATGTGTTTTGAATGCCCTCTATTTAGTACTAGTCACTTTGGAGGCTATTGACTTAAGTAAGACACTTGTCCTCCAGGAACCTGCAATCTAGTGGAAGAAATAAATGATGCACAGTAACAATTGTAATAGTAGATGGAGCCAAATAAACATCACAAATGAGAATTCAATGGTACAGGAATTCAAGGAGTTCATTTTGCTTGAGGAAACCAGAAAAGTCTCATGAAAAAGGTTTCATTAAGTTTGGGCTTTGCAAAATGGTGAGATTGTTACAGAAAGTATAGCAGAAAAAAAAAAAGAAAGTATAACAGAAAAAAAAGAAAGAAAGAAAGTATAGCAGAAAGCTGAGAGGACTGAGGTAAAACTAGCAACATGAACAATGGCACAGAGACAGCCACATGTAGAGGAGTTATGATTGAGTCGTTCCGTTGAGCTGCAACGTAAGAAGTGGCAAGCAGCAGGTCCTCTCTCAAGGTGGGGAGAAGCTTGAGAAAATAAGTGAAACCACTAGTAGAAAAGTGTCATTTAGGGTGCCTGGGAGGCTCAGTTGGTTAAGATCCTGACTTTTGATTTCGGCTGAGGTAATGATCTTGAGGTTTTTGAGTTCTAGCCCTATGTCAGGCTCTGCACTGATAGTGCAGAGCCTACTTGGAATTCTCTGTATCTCCTCTCTCTCTCTCTCTCTCTCTCTCTGCCAAAATAAATAAATATACTTAAAAAAAAAAAGAGAAGTGTCTTTTATTCAGAACACAGTGCAGATTCCTTGGAGGTTCTGGAGGAAGAACATGGCATGCTCAAGTAGCAGTTAAAAAACCATTTTTAGTTTGTTTTCTAGTGTCTTTTTTTTTTTTTAAGAGAGAGAGAGAGAGAATGATTGGGGAGAAGGCCAGAGGGAGAGAGAGAGAAAGAGAGAGAAAGAATCTCAAGCAGTCTCCATGCTGAATCCAACACAGATCTCGATCCCACGACCCTGGGATCCTGACCTTAGTCAAAATCAAGAATCCAACATTCAGTCATCCAGGCAACCCCCCAAAAAAATCATTTTTATGGGTGTGGGGCTCAGTGCTGAGTGTGGAGCCTGCTTGGGTTTCTCTCTCTCTCTCTTTCTCTCTCTCTCTCTCTCTCTCTACCCTTCCCCTGCTCATTCTCTCTCTCAAAATAAATAAATTTAAAAAACATTTTTTAAATGAGACTGTGGGTTAGACCATAGCTACAGAGATTGATTAGGTACTTTCATTGCCCAGAAACACAAAGGAGGCAATAGAAATGAACAAGATGACACAAAGCCAGTGATATTTCAGAAGCAGAATTGTTAGGACTTTGTAATCAGAAGCCTCTTTTGGAGCTAAAAGTGTTAGTTACTCTTGTTACAGTCAGGTAACAGCAGATTAAATTGAACTAGCTTAGGTGGAGTTGCTAAGCAATTTACATGTATTATCTTATTTAATATTCATATAAGTACTTTGAAGTAGGTGCTATTACTATACTGATTTTATAATTAGAAAAACCTGTGCAACTTAGCGGACAGTAGCCCAATTTGACTCACCACTGCGCACTATTGCTCTTCCCAAGCACACTGAAGATCTACCCTGGAACCAATCAACTGAGGCCGGAGAAGGCAGAATCCTGGAAGACCATGGCCATGTAGCTGGGATGGGACAGCACTTGAGGAAGAAGGGGCAGCAGACAAAGTCTCTAGAAAGCCACTAAACAACAAAAAAAAGTCCAATGTATTGAGCCAGGGTGCTCAAAGGTAAATCATCAGAAGTAATCATTTGCAAGGGAACATAGTGGGTTCGACTTGGACTAGTTTAGTTTGTGCTGGCCACTTATGTAGGTGGACATATCCACCAGAGAAGTGGGGATGAGAGGCCTATGCACCCAGATAGAGGCAAAGTTTGTAAATCTAGGAGTCACATCAGAGCAGTGGTAATTGAAGCAAAGAGAGTGGATGTTTGTTGAAGAAGAAAGTATGGAAAGTGCTCTAAAAAATGCAAGTAAGAATGGGAATGCTTAGTAGAGGAGCTGGGGAAAGGAACTGGGAAATACTGCTGTATTTGGAGAGCAGAAAAAGGAATAGGTAGTAATAACAGAAGCAGAGAAGCAGCCACCAGGAACTTTTCCTGGAAAAGGAGGAAAAAGGAGATCTAAAGACAAGAACACTGCAAGATGAAGTGATGACAACATCATCCTATACCAGAGGAGGGCCAAAAAAATCTAACCACTGACATCTACTGTTCAGCACAGTGTGGGAAGGAATATCCAGACTAATAATGGTGTAGGGAATAGGGAGGGCGGTGGGTCTGAATGTAGCTTGCAGGTGTAGATGAGTCTTTGAAAAGGTTCAGTGGTGAAGGTAAGGAGTGAAATGGGATGGAAAAAAGCATTTTATAATAAAGGTGCCTAAAGTCTGCTATAGGCCCAGAGGAGAGAGCCTGGTAGCTCCTTACCTATTTGGAACCTGGCTCTCCAGCAACCTCCACTATCTGGAATACAGTGAAGAACCAAGAAGCAAAAATAGTTTGAACAACTTACATCAGTGTCATTATACTTGTTCAATTGAGTCTATGGGTTGTACATAAAAGAAAATTGATTCATTTGCAAAATTGAATTAATCTTACTCTTCTCTAGATCAGAGATGAAGAAATGTTTCTCCCTAGCTCTGGTCTCACAACGGTAAACTATACCCACATTTACACATAATAAAATGTTCAACTAACTTCCCATTCAATGATCTAAGGATATAAAATCTTATAGGACATTAGGAGGCTACAAAGTGGAAACAGATGTAGCATATTTCAACATGGCTCTCCTTGACCCAGAATCCCTGGGATAGAAGAGGTGGGAAAGGAACAAGAAGAAAAAACTGACACTGTCCATACAAGGTAGGGTTTTTCCACCCAGAAACGTAATTCTGACTACAATCCTGTCCTTTTATAATAGGTGTTGAATTACCATTCTGGAACACACTAACCCCATTTGTCATTACATTTAATGAAAGGCTTATAAATAACCAGAATTTCCTGGTTCCTGAACCAAATGCAGCACCAGTAGGACACATCAGTGTTCAGTCATGCCCAGGTGACCCCAGAGGATCACTCTGCTTCCAGTCCTCTAGTATCCCAGAAAGTACATTTCCCCTCTGTGCCAGAGGTTCTCAGATGCCCCTGTGTCCTTCCTCCATCCTGCTCTGTGCCCTGGGAGGCAGACCAGCATGAACTGCATCAAAGGGATCTATCTTGTCTTCTGGATTCCAGTTGGGTTTGGCCATTTGGAAGAACTGGAAAGACCCTGGAGTATATAAGGTAAATGAGGTCAAGAATTTATTCTCACATCTCCCTACCAGCAGGGTCTTTGTAAGTTAGCTGCAGCCTCCCACCCAGACCATAGCTCCTGGCAGCACTTAGGTCTAGGTTCCAGTAACTTCTCCCTCTCCTTCAGACCCACAGGTACTAACTCCAGGGTATGGTAGGGTGTGGCTTCTTAAGCCCTACTCAGACTTATGAAAATAGAGTATTAAACTCTCTTCAAATCACCCAAGTTTGAGGTGCTATTTATTTCTTGCAGGACTTGACTACTAACACCATCCCCATGGAGATAGTATTCAGCTCCCATGCCGAATACTATCAATTGGTATCAATTCTTATCAATTGATAGGAGCTACTTGGATGGAGCATCTTTTGTGAAAGATTCTGAGGCCACATCCAGGGTTTTAATGATTCATGGTTAGTGATGGGGATGAATAGCTCTCATGCTAGGTACTGGCAGTCCTTGTTCTGGATTTTCATAGTTATAATCACCTCATACCCAAACTCTCAGCAGATTTAAAAGCAAACAAAGAGAGATTTGTTACAAGTAGGTACACTGAGAACAGGATAAAGGGATGGTTGACAGACTAGCAGAAGAAGGAGACTGAGAGGAAAACTCAAAAGTAGACAAACAAACATACAAGCAAACAAAACCACACATGCACACAGTAGTAGAGTGCAGGCCAATCTAGAGTTTAATCTACCCGGTCAATGATGCTTTTGAGCAATCATAGAAAAGGCTAAATATGTTTGGCATACTTTCTTTGAAAAAGACAAAAAGTAGGGGCTCCTGGGTGGCTTAGTCAGTGAAGTGTCCAACCCTTAGTTTCGGCTCAGGTCATGATCTCATGGTTTGTGAGGGCTCTGTGCTGTCAGTGAGGAGCCTGCTTGGGATTCTCTCTCTCTCCCTCTTTCTCTGGCCTTCTCCCACTTCTACTCTCTCTTTCCCTCAAAATACATAAATAAACATAATTTTTTTTTTAAAAAAAGAAAAAGACAAAAAGCATATCATACACTTGATAAAGATTTCTATTCCGAAGACCTAAACTGTTTAGGTGATCTGAAAAGCTATTTTATACTTTGCTGGCTGGTTTGTACTCCTTGTCAGTTCATCATTATCTAGAGAGAGTTCATGAAAGGTCAATTACCCATTTATTCCCCACAGTTGCCATTGCCAAAACTCCTAAAATTCCTGTCATCACAATAGACAATGACAGCTGATGACTCCAGGCCTCCTAGGGATCAATAGACCATGATGCCAAACTAGTGCCAGGGAGGCAATGACCTGTCTGTTCTTCCCCCGCAGTACTTGGATCCCTTGCTCACTCTGCACCTCCCAGATCTTATTGCTACCATTCCCTTTTTCATCCCGTTGAAATGTATTGCCTGGGCCAGACTCCGCGTTTTAGGTAGTGTGATGCTGATAATTTCTTCAGGGTTAATAAAAGACAAGTGAGCCTTCCTCTGATCTGAGAGAACAGAGATCCCGCTTCACATCAACCTTCTGGAGCTATATGGCAGCCACTGTTGAGGCTATGTTGTGCAAGAAACAGCTAACCAGTTATTATGCAGCTTCTGTGAACAAACCGCTGTGCTAATCTTTGTAGGAAGAGGCAAAATTGCATGAGAACTTGGGGCTCATTTGACAAGCTTCCAGTCTGGTGAAGAAGGCAAACATGGGCACTACTAACTACAACTAAAGAAAAAACTTAGCCAAGGCTCCACCATGCAAACCTGAACATGCTAGAAAGCCCAATGTACTCTGACCTGGACCTCTCTGAGAACTGCAAGAGCTGTAGGAGCTCTGAGAACTGGTGCTCCCTGCCATGACAGGGCCAATGTGATATCAGCTGGAAAGAAGAACTCACAATCTACCTTGTGAGCCAACCAGAGTGTGAACTCAGGCTTCATTGGTGAATTTCCTCCTCTGTCTTATGTCAAAAGGTAAAGACTAAGTTTAGTTATAAGAAATTTAAAATGTTACTTTTCCTCCTCTGTGCCTCCTCCTACCTTTTGTCCTAAATTCCTGTTCAAGTTACTTCTTGAGTGACATGGCTCTTTCTCTCCTGGCAAAGGAATGCACTCAGTTTTGTCTTGTATTGTGTTTTGTCCACTTCTCCTGGTCTTTGTATTTTGATGTGACACTAGAAACATGCCAATAAAGAGAGTGGGTGCTGTAGAGAAGCAGCAGCTGATCTGGACAGTGAAGGATGAGAAGAGCTTCAACAGGGAAAGAAGAGAAGTAAGGGTCTTCTAGGTATAACAGGGCCAATGCTTCATAGCATAACCTCTGGTATGAAGGAAATGTAACATTCTAAATTTCTTATAACTAAACTTAGTCTTTACCTTTTGACATATAAATAACTTTGAGCTAGAGGCACCTGGATGGCTCAGTCGTTAAGTGTCTGACTCTTGATTTCAGCTCAGGTCATGATCCCAGGGTCCTGGGATCGAGCCCAGCATTGGGCTCTGCACTGAGTATGAAGCCTGCTTGAGACTCCGTCTCTCTCTCTCCCTCTGCCCCTCTCCCCTGCTCATTTTCTCTCTCTCTCTAAAATAAAATTTTAAAAATTAAACAGAAAGAATTATTTTGAGCTTAACTATCATAAGTGTCCCCAGAGGCAATTCTAATCTCTTCCCAGAGAGAAGCTGAAAAGTTGACACCACACTCAAATATTGTCACAAACTGTCATATCTCCCATCTGTTCTCCTTTTTTTTTTTTTTTAATTTTTTTTTTCAACGTTTATTTATTTTTGGGACAGAGAGAGACAGAGCATGAACGGGGGAGGGGCAGAGAGAGAGGGAGACACAGAATCGGAAACAGGCTCCAGGCTCTGAGCCATCAGCCCAGAGCCCGACGCGGGGCTCGAACTCACGGACCGCGAGATCGTGACCTGGCTGAAGTCAGAGGCTTAACCGACTGCGCCACCCAGGCGCCCCAACCCATCTGTTCTCCTAAGGGTCCTTTTATCTTCCAAAAAAGACATCTGTGTTTCTGTAAATGCCTTCTGCCTTCCCTTCTAGGAAGTCATTTGTTCTCCCAGAAGTGCCCCCTGCCCCTCCTCATAGTAACATGGTATATAAGCTCAAATCTTACCACTCCTTTGGATATTCACTCCCAAAGGAAGTCCCCTGCACTTAAAATTAATAAATTTATATTTTTTCCTTTTGTTAAATCTGTTTGTTGTCAGTTTAATTCATAGAACCCCCAGCTATGAAACCTAAGAGGGTATAAAAAAAGTTTTTCCTCTCCTACATGTGTCACCTGAGGTCTCAAAACATAATCTAGTTGACTCCAGTAAATTCAATCATTTCAGTAAGTTTCTTAGTTATTTCAAATTTACACTTGGTCAGTCATTCAAAAATTTTCCCCAGCCCCTCAGTTCTTCCAAAGTGACATCTGTTTGGGGGAGTGTCTTAGTTAGATTCCCTAGAAGCAGAGCCTGAAGCAGAGATTCTTCTGGAAGTGACTGAGGGAGTGCTCATAGAAGAAAGTTGTAAAGGGCATCTGGCAGGCTCAGTCAGAGCATGTGACTCTTGATCTCAGGGTTGTGAGTTTAAGTCCTGCATTGGGCAAGGAGCCTACTTTAAAAAAAAGAAGAAGAAGAAGAAGAAGAAGAAGAAGAAGAAGAAGAAGAAGAAGAAAGTTGTAAGGAGGTGAAATTAAGCAGGATACCTCAGGAAGAAGCTAAGTACAATGAGATTTCTGCTGAAATCTAGCCTTGGCTTGCCAGTGAGCCCTGGACTGTGAATGACACCATAAAGTTGACACCCCTGAGGCAAGAGAGACAGTTTTTTGTACCCATGTCAGTCAACCACTGATTTGCTGGTTGGGATGGGGTGGAGGTGACCTCCCAGATATTTTTGGTAGTTCCTTAATGAGGACAATTCTCTGGAGAGGGGTGGCTCCAAAGGGTGCGCTATTATCAGCCAACACTCACAACAACTGAGGATGGTGTAGTGGTCAAATAAAGAGGATTGGATAAGACCAACAGTGTCTACTAGCAGAAGCTTCTAAGGTATCCAGGCATTAGGCCAGTGTTCTAGATAGTGGGTCTACCACTCAATCATCTAGCAGTCTCCATTTATCAGCAGTTACTGACACTTGTGCCACACAGATGTGCTATTCCATTTGGTTTTCAGGTGGCCATCATCAACTGAGACATAACTGATCAACTGAGACCTCATCTGATCCCCAGATGCAGCCAGGGTAGCATGTTTGCATCCTACCCTGAAAGCCATGCAGCCCATTTTCTCTCTCTCTCTCTCTCTCTCTCTCTCTCTCTCTCTCTCTCCTTTTTCTCTTTCTTTCTCTCTCAACCCTTTCTTTCCTCCCAGGGCCTGGAAAGCACTGACTATGCATTGTAACTTGCTAGGGAATAAGGTGTGTATGGCTCTTCTGAGGCTTACTGCCATCCCAGAGATACATCTTGGGACATACCCCAGTCTTGGTATTTTGAAAACTTTTTGGTAGATTCTTTTCAATTGTCCCCAGGGGTTTCAATCCCATAAGGAAGTATAACAAGCCCCTTTTCTGACCCTTATGCCAGCCATTTCCTCTGAGTCACTTTCATCTCCTCTGCTGGAGCAATGCTTTTCTAGTCTGTGGCCTGGGTGGTTCTTCATCTACTTTTTCTACAAGATATTGTTTCTGTTAAATTTCATTTAGGGGATTCTTCTTACTGATACTTAAAACTAGCTTTTTTGGAACTAAAAACATGTTTGCTCTTTTAAAAAGCCCTGACTTTGTCTTTTCTTTCTTAACTATTGTTCCAGCTCTGGGTTTCACAATGTATTCTTGAAACATAAAAGCTGAACAATAATTGTTTCTTTGTTTTTGCATTCCTGCTTTAATAATTCTAATCCTCCTTGAGGCAGTGGATGCCTCCAACCAAAGAATAGACCCTCTGAAACAAAGAGGTTTTCAGAAGAGAGGGTGTAACGCTGCCATGGCCATAAGAGGCACAGAAAACTGTAGGTCCCATCTTGGAGATACTTGAAGGATAGCAAGTTTGCTAAAGAGGGGGCAGTGTGCCAGAAAGGCAAATGGAAAATGAATGTGGAAAGAAATCAAGATGAGAGTTTTTAGAAGTTTCAGTTTTGTGCTCAGTAGGGGAAATCCCTAGATCACTTCACTTCGCCTAAGGCTGCGCTTAGGAGGGCATGTCCAGACTTGCAGAATCTGGATCCTGGAGAAAAGAATAAGATGGAAAAGAATAGGAAGAGAATCCACTTTAAAGTTGTTCAAGATGTTTAAACTAAGGAGCAATGAATATTTGGCCTAGGTCCCAAATGCCTACTACTAGAATTTAAAAGATACGAGAATTTAGTTCAAAATATATGTGACAGTTAAATAAAAAGAGTAATATGGAACGAGTAAAGGGAAAAATATTACTTTTCTTCATTCTAAGAAATATAGATGAAAAAGTATTGTTATTTTGGTTTAAGAACTAGAATTAATGGCAGGGTTGAAAATGGGCTTTGTACTTTAAATAAAAAGTACAACTCCAGAAACTCACCAGTGTAAACTGAAGCTTAGACACATAATCCTTCTTAGCTTCAAATATTTGGGTCAAATAAATTTGTCAGAGTAAAAATTTTCTCTACCCTTCAAGATTCTTCTAGCTGGTCTAAGAATTAAACTGACTTGTGACAGATTAACAGGAGGAAAAGACCAAAGTTTAATTACGTGCTCGTGGAGGCCCAATAATGAAATTGAGATCTAAAGAAATGACCAAGGGCAGGCAGTTTTTATACTTTCTGGACAAAGAAACAGTAAGTGAGGAATTAAGAGGACAAAGGAAACATGTTTGGGAGCTCCACTTAATAAAGAATTCTAAACAGAATTTGGGCTGAGGTAGTAAATGAGTAAAAGTAACAAGGTTTGTTTATACAGCCTTTTTAGCTCCAAATTCCCTATCTCTGGTGAAAAGGATGTCTCTTTACCTCCTGGTATAGGGAGAGTACCTTTCATATGGGATATTTATTTTCTGCTTTTTGGAGACAAAAGGGGATCAGAATGTTCCCCCGTGTACTGGCTGTTCCTTAACTAACTTTTACTTCAAAATAATCAATATGCCAAAGCGGCACATTTTAAGGCAGCCTGTCCTTGGCTCCTATAGAGACATTTGCAAGTTTTTTAAAGCATTTTTCCCTGTTTATAAATAAATACTAAGTTTGTCTTTTACTTTTTTGGGCTTTAATTAATAATTCATTATCAATCAGACAGCTCTGTATTGGTTTAGAGTTGATAATCATATTGTTAATATTTGCTGAGTGCTTATTATATGCACTTCACATGGAATAACTCGATCCTCACAAGAAACTGCTGAGATGGATACTATAGTATGCCTGTTTCACAGCTGAGGAAAGTGAGGAAAAATTAACAAAACAAATACTATGTACAGGTACTACATTCTTTGTATATAATATTTCATTTTCTCCTTTAAAAATAGCTATGAGATACTATTATATTCCCCATTTTATAGAAAAGGAAATGGAGACTCAGGTGAATTTGTTTTGAGGTGATGCAATTAGTAAGTGAAGGAAGAAGGATTTTAATCAAGTCTACCTGTTAAACCAAATTCCTGGCTCATATAGTGTTGAAAAGCTAGAAATAATAACAACAACCCTTACTAGACAACTCTTATCACCTATAAATTTCCTAAGCATCTTCCCACAGTTTACCACTGTTAGGAGCCCAAACCCTCTTTTCCTTTGTCTATTCACTTCTTCACAATTTATTGCCCTTTGTTAAAATGATACATACACCCCCAGGTCTAACTGCCTCTTTGGATTTTCCTCTCCTTTCTATGGAACCACTTTGCACCTAAAAATATTAACATAAGTGAAGAAACATATGATTTATCTCCTGTTAATCTGTCTTCTGTCAGTTTAGTTTCAGGTCTCCAATGAACCTTAGAGGGAAGAGTAAAAGTTTTTTTCTCCCCTGCACTTGTCAGCATTGTGTTACTTGTACATCTTGTTTTGGTAATAAGAAAAAAAAATAATAGAAGAAGTAATAAGAGAAAAGGCATTAAATGTGGAAGTGGGAGTATTAGAATATATACATATACACACACAAAAAATACATATATATGTATTATACATGTATATATATATATATATATATACACACACACATATATGTGTGTGTGTGTATACTTTATTTTCTAATTGCCTGCCTGCCTGCTTCTTTTCTTGTCTAAATAATTTGGTCTCAAAGCCAATAGGTAGAGTTGAGCAAAAGTAAGCATTCACACTGGAGAGTGGATGTTAGTGGCCCAGCACAAGGAGGTGGAGCTCAAGAGGGATGAGAAAAACATCTGCATGGAGTAGGGGTGGTAGCAGTGGTATGGAAGTGGAGTCCAAGCAAGATAAGGACAGCATCTGTACAAGGGAGAAATCACCCAACGTGGGATATTGCAGGCA